GCCAGTGATATTTAGGGGACAGTTTGGACAAATTAATGGTGCATGCATAAACTCGGATGTCTAGTATGAACAATCACTTGTGTCTTGGAATGGCTGTGTATAGTATTATTTAATGAAGAAAAACAATGCAGATACTTTGCAGAAGTCTGCAGAAAGTGCCTAGTGGAGAAGGCTTGAAAACAAATCTAACTCCAGCTGAACCCTCTGGAATTTGTGCCATCAATTATTTCCAAATTTCCTTTTTCTGATTTGTGAAATTTGCAGTATCACCTGAAATAGGCTTTCAGGTTTTTAGTATAGATCATGTACTCTGAAAATAAAAACTTTAAAAAATAACAAGCAAAAATCAACATTTAGATTCTAGTAATATTAATTTGGTGTGCTGAAAATGATTGCTCTGAATTATTTGACGACAGCTAACACCCTAATGACAGTGACAGTTGAAAATATCTTTTATGATATGTATGTAGTGTGAATAGCCAAATATATGTCAAGGTTACTTGGAGAAGATTTCTATTCCATATGGTTGATGGTTAAAACCTGCCTTGAAACTGAAAATGTTCAGTCAGTCAAGAGAAGTGTATCACCTCTGCAAACAATGCATACTTTATTCCAAACTTAATACTGTGTTTTGTTTAAAAAAAATATTTCTGCAATGTTTTTTGGTCGTACAGAAGAAAGTAATGTAACATTATACTTCTTCATAGTAAAAGTAGTAAATCTTTATGAATTTATTGAGTTTGTGGATTTGCAGCAGCATAATGAAGTGATATTAAATAGGAATAATGCTTTCATTTGTTTCAAGAAGTGAAAATGACTATGTAATATTTTTTGAGTGTTGAAGAGGTTCATAAGGCATACACACTTTCACGCTTGCCATGGTTTAGGCTGGGCTGGCCACTAAACAAATGACAGATGCTCTCTTTACATTTCCAGTAGTTACTGCACTAACCTTATTGCAGTGTTGTCAAGTTACCTTGCTTGATCCATAGGTTTCCCTTAAACAACATTTATTCACACCTGTAGCTTCTTACTGGTTTTTGTAAAATGTCAGTTAGATGACATTTAATACTTCAAGGATATTTTTCTTTGGTAGATCAAGTTTTTAGGTTTAGGTCGTGTTCCCAGCACAGTTAATACCTCATTCCTCTCTAAAGTAGTTCACTTCCTTGTCTAAAAATATGACAGTATATTTTACTAATAGCAGTTAAAAAGAGCGGGTTCCTAGAGGAGGACCTTAGAAATAACACAATTTCTTTCTTCAACTTCCTAATTTCCAAAAAATAAGACAAAGCAGAACTCTCTTTTGTCACCTTCTTCCAACCGAAGGTTGGCCCACAACCAAAAAAAGGAACCATGTCCTGTGATTTAGAGATCTCAAGGCACTTTTATGGCTTTCGCTCAAAGCTTGCCTCTTTCATGTCTCAGTGTATTTCTCTAAATTCTTTCCGATTCTGTGTGGCTGCAAAGGTCCATCAGTTCAGAACACTTCAATATGGTATTTCGTAGTCCAAGGGAGCCTCAATTGACAAGTAGCTCGAATTCCTGGACATAAGAGATCACATTCTTGCTCTTACCTAACTTGCTGATGCAAACTGGCCTTTCAGAAACTTTTCTTAAGTAGTTCACTACATATCCTGTTTATTCTAATTGTTCGTGCTGTTAACGAACCGGGAGAATCAACTTTTGCAAAAGAGCAACTATTCTGGATACATTGTGAACTCAGTTGTGCCAAAGCTTTTCTCCCAAAGGAAGATTATTCAAAATACTTTGAGAATTTTTGGAGAATATCTTCATACAGATGTTTTTTCTTTCCTAGGACTGTCTGTGGTAGTTCCTTCAATTTACAATTCTTACTTTAGTCCACTGTATCCCAGGATTCTGATTCTTTAGGGAAAACAGTCATCCCTTACTTGGTGCTCTACTTGCTTTGTTCATGACAAGAGACTGTGATTTTGCCTTTTGTTCAGCTACCCTCACAATCATTCATAATGTCCCTAGTCTACAATGACTGCCGTTCAGACCTCTGGAATACAGAGAAATCTGCATACTCTACCAACATACCAGAGCTCAGGACAGTGCAGTAGGCACACATCTGTGAATATATAGTATGTAATGTTGCAAATAACACCAAAGCCACAAAGTTCAGGAAAAGGTGGATCTTGGTCTACAAAGAAAAGTGCATCTGTTGCACCTTGACCCACCCCTATCCTGTGATGCAGCAGAAGCAACAGATTTTAGGATTATCTAGATAAGAAGTTGTTAAAATAAGCTTCCTTTATTATTTATATATAATATTTATATAATTTTCTATGTAATATTTATATTACTTATTGCACATTACATGCTTATTACAGAGGTGTAACGTAGAAACAGTTCATCATACTTCCGTGCTGGTCTTGCTCAACATGTCCTTCTTAATGCATTTAGTTGTGACTAGCATGCCTTAATATAAATATTTATTAAGCAAATAGATAGTTCACTTTGAAATACTAAATTTTCAGCTGTAGAAAAAGGCCTATTTTTGTAACAAAAAATGTTACATTGATTGTGTGAGTAACAATATTGAAAAATGCCACACTTGGTAACTATTGCATAGAAATGACATATGTAATCAAACTTTTTAAAGGGGAAGAAAGGAAAATACACTGGCAGTAGAACTATGTGATTTGCTTCTTGCCCATTAAGTCTTCTCAAATTCATCCATAAAGTATCTTGAAATTTTAAATTATATTTGATAGATACATAGTAGAATTCAATATTTGCATTCCCAGTTTTTATCTGCAATAAAGCGTGCTCATTTTGAGTCTTGCAGTTGCTGAACAGGACTCTTGCCTGCTATGTTGCCACTTTCAGTTGCTAGAGGTTGCCAAAAAAAAGGGGAAATGAGAGCAGCATCCTTGCTCTCACTGTACTTTTTCTGCTTACCCATCCTTGTTCCCAGGCGGCAAAGAAGAGAGAGAAGCGTGTCTCGTCTAGGATCCTGAGGGGCTGATAAACACAGAATTGAGGGTCAGGGAAGGTAAAGTGGGAGGAAGAGATGCATCTGATAGCAGTGTTTGGTTCTGTTTATAGTGGGATGTTTCAACAAAGCCCTTTCCTAATAGCCCTGCCGAGTCTGTGCCACTCCCCTTAACCCTCCCATATGCATTTCAAAACGATATATCAGATTATTCTGTATGTTGCTGCATCTGAGTTTGCTCTTCATAAGTGCTGCATTATCAATCTTTGTCATAGATAAAGGTTGGAGTAAAAATGCATTAATGCACGCACATACAAACACATGCAAAGTGCTCTTGAAAATTCAAATTTGCTTAACCCAGTCATATAGTACAAGATAATATTTTATGTACATTCACTGAAACTACAATAGCAAAATGAGGTAAATAGTAAATCAAAAAGCAGCACTCTTGCTGCTAAAGGAAAGGGAAAGCTGCCGGTGCTTAATGGGTGGTGCAGATCAAGCACAGCTTCTTTAACTGTAGAAGACAGTGGTGGAGTAATTCTCAGCTCCCTCTGTTCACTCTCCTATTCCTGTAGGAGCAACAACTATCCGTTATACCTTCTTTATGGATCCTCTATATATTTTTACCATATATAGAATATGTTAAATCTAAGGCTCTTTTTTGCTGTCTTTACGCCCTCACGCTGATTGTATGAGATCGCAAAGTTGCATTCCTTCAGTGACCAGTAACTAACCATTTGCAATTGGAGCTTATATGCTTGACAGCCTCTGCTATCCTCCTGTGGTTGTATTTTCCCAAGCCCGCAGTACAGTATGCATGTATGAATTTCTTTTCTCTTTCTGTCGATCAATGTTAGTAATAAAGGAGTGTCATACACCAGAATTTGTAGCCTCTCTTTCCATTCTGTAATAATAAATTTTTGTGTTGGAAACTAGCATTTCCAACTTATGGTCGCTTTTGTTAGGCTTTGATGGCAGAAAGTCCCTTTAATTCTTGGTTTTCTCCAAAAAATGTGAGGCAGTATTATAGTGATTCATAACTTTTTTGTGCTTGACTTCCCAACAATGGTCTCTGATAAATTCTTGAGGCGTAGTAAACACTGAAAACTAGGAGGTAGCATAATGCCCAAAATTGTTTATAAAACTGATTTTATTTTAACTTACACAGTTTAGAAAGTTGCAACATTTCATAGTAATGATACAAATTTTGTGTTGAAACACTGACATATTTAAAACGGCAAAGTTATGGAAAAATCTTATAGAGGTAAAACATTCTGAGCTTTGGGATCTGACAAAGCTTAGAGGCATGAAAAATTTTCTGGGGAAGAAGTTTCATGTAGTAAAACATCAAAATATAGTACATGCAGAATGCAGATATCTATGGAAAGCAATGAAATCACTAAATTGTTTCTGTCTCTGCAGAAAGTGCACAGAGATTTATCTGTATAGTTAAAAATCCCCTCTGGGGAGAAATACATCATCACCTTCCTCAGGACAAATCTAATCTGTAGCAGTCATTTCCTGATAAGCGACATATAGCCAACCATTTCAACAGAGAGCCAACTTTCAAGCTCTAAACATAATACTCATTCTTTGGGTTTTTCTACTTCAGTACATAGTGTGGCACAATAGGAACACGTTTCTAGATTAAAATGTTTGCGCTGAGGGCCGAATACCCACAGTGTGTGTATTTTGGGGTTTTTACTTCAGATTAGTTGTAGTCTGATCCTTTGGGCTGACTGAACGACTACCACCAATTGGAGGACATTTTGGTTTCAGCCAAAAGGAAGGCTTTGGTTCTGAAGAGCTTTGCAGTATGAACAGAGCAGTAAGTGGGGATCACTGTGAGTTTTCCTACAAAATAGTCTCCTAATGCAAGTGTAAATCACAGAATGGTTGACATTTTTGGAAGGGACCTCTGGAGGTCATCTGGTTCAACCACTCTGCTCAAGCAGGGCCACCTGCTCAACAGCAGAGCCAGTTGCTCAGGACCTTGTCCAGACAGCTTTGGGGTATCTGTGGTGATGAAGACTCCACCACCTTGCTGAGCAACCTGTGCTCAGTCACCCTCACAGTGAAAAAGTGTTTCCTGATATTCAGAGGGGAACCTCGTGTGTTTCAGTTTGTGCCCGTTCCCTCTGGTCCTTTCACTGGGCACCACTGAGAAGAGCCTGACTCCTTCTTCTTTGCACCTTTATATTTATACACACTAGTGAATCCCCCCGAGGCTTCTTTTCTGCAGGCTGAACAGTCCTAGCTCTCTCAGCCTTTCCTCATAGGAGAGATGCTGTAGTCGCTTCATGATTTTAGTGGCCTTTCATTGGACCTGCTCCAGTAAGTCCATGGCTCTCTTGTACTGGAGAGCCCAGACCTCCAGGTGTGGCCTCACCAGTGCCGAGTAGAGGGGAAGGATCACCTCCCTTGACCTGCTGGCTACACCTTTCCTAATGCAGCCAAAGATAACATTGTTCTTCTTTGCCAAATGTAGATTTAACCACTGACTTCCCGTTCACTTACTTTGGCCCTTCCTACTTGCGTTCTCTGTTGTGGTACCTGCATCTCATAGATTTTTCAGCATGGCATTGCTGCCTCCCTCCCGCTTGACATCACCAAGCGTGGGACAGGGCTGACTGACAGATCTGCTCCAAGGGTTCTCCAGCACCTGCAGTCAGGTGCTCAGTTTATGCAGTCTACATCAATCTTAGTACCCACGTAAAAATGGATGCTTGTCACAAGAGCTTATAATGCCATGTGGCAGTCAGTTGAGCAGATGTGCTTTCTCATCATCCGGCTGTAAGCAGGAGAATTTTGTCAGGGTTTCCAGCAGCCCTGGGAGCTCTGCAAATGCTGGATGGGTTTTGTGGATTTACATAAGTGGTAGGAACCTGTAATTTGTTTGGAAAGAGCAGCTGATGGCCTCTAAGTTGCCTATTTTAATTCTTCTAGCCTGGATAACCAAAGCCCTAGTGATAGCACTTTCAATAGTTTCATGGTATATAATTTCTTACTGCGTGGGGGGAGGGAAGGTAGATTGGGTAGGATCAAAGGGATAAAGAGAATTGTGATGGCTATACGCAGTGAAAACAAGCAAAATTATTCATAATTAACCTCAGCAAGAAATTATTTTAAACTGAGTAAAGATTTTAGAAATATAACATTACAGATATATTGAATTAATTAAATGGTGGTCATTTCTAACAAATTTGCTTTACTTGTGTCAGTGCAGCACTGTCTGTTACTACTAGTTGTCTTTTTGCCACTGTCAAATGATTGTTACATGCGGAAGTAGTTATGTGCCAAGTAAATCTGACAACACTTTGCAGAAAGGCAGAAATCTGTCTTGTGCTTGATTGATTTGTCAGTGTTGCCAGAAAACCTAGTTTTGATCAGGTATGAATCATGGTATGTTTAAGGATAACAGAATTTTTCAGTCTTCCTTTGTAAAAGCTTTGAGTTTGAGAATCATTAATTTGAAAAATGGCAGTTATAATTTTATTTAATTTTTTTGTGTAAATAGCTATTTATATATACTCCTGACTGTTAATGAAGCATGGGTTTTCACGTTGTTTAAAAATAACTATTCCTTTAATCAAAATAGTATAGGATGCTATATTCTAATTTGAGTGAGTTTATGTAAACTAAAATACAAGTAATTTAATTTGTTCCTTATTTTTAATGCGGTTTATGCTCAATTTTTTACTTTAACATATTTATAGCTGTTTAATGTGACACATTTCTTCCAGATAGTTACTTCTGAAACTTGTTAACACTGATGCTGAAAGGAGAGAGAAATAATAAGACATAAAAAACATTGTATTGACATGTTGATGTGGAGTAGAGCAAATAAAAAAAGTTGCCTCATTGTTCAGTTGCATTAAACTAGTGGAAAATTAAAACAGTTTAAGTTTCATTCTCCTTCTCAAGTCCAATGTATTTTATGCACATTTTGTGGCAAGGATTTTGTCTAAAATATTTACTTTGTAAAACTTGTGTTTTCTTTTTTTTTCAGAGCACATTCAAATTTAAATCTGAGAGTGACATTCATCTTGCTGAGCACCATAAACAAGTGCTATATGATGGGAAACTTGCAAGTAGCATTGCTTTTACTTATAATGCGAAGGCTACTGATGCTCAGCTATGCCTTGAATCCTCACCAAAGGAAAATCCTTCAATTTTTGTACACTCCCCCCATGCTCTTATGCTTCAGGTTTGTGCTACTAAATCGATATTCTGTGATTACTGTTAGTTCAACATCATTTGGATAATAGTAAGATTTGTGTGGTAGTGTACAAAAAGATTGTTATTTTGTATTATTTACCTATCACTTGAACTGCTCTTTCTTGGCTCACTTTCTAGAGCAAAAAAAAATTTATTATTTCTTCATTAAGCTGTATATACTTCAGACCACAAGGCACAGTTTGCCACGATACTGAGGTTCTGTTTAATGTTTGGCTTTAAGTACAGTGATTATAATTCGACCATAAGTAATGAAAATAAGTTACAAGTTTTTTTAGTTTGCACTCAAGTCAATGTTAAAGTGTTCCCAGGTTATGTTTGTAACTGTCCTTTGAAACTGATTAACTGAGATTTTTCCTTTTATTTATTTATTTTATTAATTTAGGATGTGAAAGCTATCGTAACCCACTCCATTCACAGCGCAATTCATTCCATTGGAGGGATTCAAGTTCTTTTTCCACTCTTCGCCCAGTTAGACAATCGACAACTGCACGACAGTCAGGTGGAAACAACAGTTTGGTAAGCTTCTTTCAAGCAAGCTAAAAGCTACATTAAGCTAAGAATATTTCTGGTTTTGTTGTGGGAATGTTTGATTTGTTTTCTTTTGTAAATGCCGTGACTTGCACTTCACCTTTGTTTCTTTGAAAATAATACTGTTTTTTAAAAAGTAGTTTAGTGTAGAAATATGTAAATTGTATTAATCTGATGAGGTTCCAGATGGAACTGGCATAAAATTGATTGGATTAAATAATGAATTCAAGTCACTCTGGAGTCTTTAAGGATAGTTTTGTGACAATTTTTGCAACTTCTAAAAGAAACCGATGTGCTTTTACTTTACAGTGCAAAGTTGTTTACTTTATCAAAGTTTGCGTAATTTAACAACATTCAAAATTAAGGAAAGCTATCACCTTCCATATTAATACCTGGTCAGAAAGTCATAGAGCTATGATCAGTTATTTTGTGTCCCTATTACAATTAGAACAGTGACTGGCGACACACCAAGAGAGTTTTAAACGGGGACACATGAAATCTCTGCTCTGATAGCGTGGAAGTAACCCCAAGGTTGAAAAGCCTGCACAGAAGTTAGATGAATGCTTCCACGTGTAGCCTGCAAAGGACTGCGTAGGAATCTGTCAGTCTCCACACTGACTTGTTCAAAGGTAGCTCAGCTGGAGTTATTTTTGCAAAGAAGATCTCTTGCCACCTGCTTGTCAGGGCAGGCTCCTATTCCAGTGGCAACACAAGAAAAAAAGTGTGTGACTTAAACTTTAGGGGCTAACAAAACTGAAAAAGTAATGCTGAAGAACTGATATGGTGTTTCCCCATAGGATGTTAGCTAACCAAAATCTGCTAGAAAACAGTGTTTAGGGGCAGCTGACTCTTGTACTTGAATCCATTTGTACAATAGGTGCATAATTTGGAGTACACGACTTATTTTCCTGCTTAGAATACTCTGCTGTTATTTATTCTGGATATTTTCTATTGCATTAGCTAGTTCAGTAATAAACTAGTTAACTGAAAAATAATTAAATAATACTAAAATTGCTGACAATTTTGAAAAATTGAACTGAAAGTGATACGTTAGTATAATTTCTCATGGAACATCACTTGTCTCAATCTAATTTAAGAAATTAATCAATTTGTTGAAGTTTCATCAGTCATCTGTTTTCCCCTTTGGTAACTTAAATATATGTAGCTAAGATGGCTGATGGTTTTTATTCGTTTCTGTAGTGTGAAAATTTCAAATATTTGATTAGAATATTTTAGTACAATGTGAGAATACAAGTCTTAAAAATAACGAATTCTACTTCCAAGCAATATAGTGGTGCAAATTATGTCATTCAGTGTTAAAGACAGAAAAGCTGGTTGTGTATTGGCTCATGTGGGATATTTACTTTTTTTGTAGTTTGTTTTCCAGTATGTACTTTGCATTGAGGTATTGTGAAGTAAGGGGAATAGAAAAAAACACTTGGCTTGAAAAAATTTGGAAAAAAATTTCCCCGTATGTTTTTATTTACTGGCACAGCAGTAGGCAAAAATGCTTTATTCCAATTTAAAGAGGGTTATGTGTGTATGTGCCCATGCATATGAATAAAATATATGTTAAATTCATTAATGAGCTGAGTCTATAATAAATGATAAAGCAGTAACTAGGTCTGTTTAAATATTGAGAGCTGATATAATGTAAGTTTTATAAGTCAAGATAAAGACTAATTCTTTCCAAGTGTGTGGTATTTCCAGTGAGTGAGAACATTCATAAAATTCAATTTAAAATGTACAGAACATTTCTGGAGTTAGTTGAACTGTAAGTAGGAATAAAAGTTGTTCTTGAATAAATCAATGCATTTCTTCTATAATTAGATTATATTCTGAAAAGAGATCTGTAATTCATTATGCTATATGATTGTACAAATGCGTAATACAACAACATGTGATCCAAACTCAAGAACATACTCAAAGTAATTTTAAACAAATTGTTGCTTGAGAGATGTAACTTAAATATTGAATTACTATGTTTTTGGTGTATGTGCATTATTTTCTTATATTTAATTTAATATGATGTAGATATTGAGAAAAATAATAGTTTAGGTAAAGAAGAAAGGCAAATAAAGGAATAAAAGATTTCTGGGGCAAAGAAAGGAGATAATGGTGAAAGTGGGATAAATATGAAAAACAGTGCTACATTTAAGATTCATTTGTGAAGTGGAATAAGGGAAGAAGTATACTTACTGGGTCCTTTCCTTCTTTCCCCTTGTTTTTTGGACTATTGTCTCTATATTTGTTCCCTTCCAAAATCTGATACTTGTTTATACCCTTCTTACCTGTGAAAATGTATCTACAACAGCAACAGAGGGCTGCACCGCTTCTTTCTGAAAAATAGTTGGTATTCAGCCATTACAATCTATGTAATTTTATAAGCAGATAATCTTTATGCCACTTTGCCAAAAAAATAAGGTCCAGATGATGCTTGATAACAGTAGACCATTATGTTTGTAAAGGCTTACTATGGCTATAGAATTCCTTTCTTTCTGGTGGTCAACTGGGTGGACTCAGAAGTTGCCCACTGAATATCTGTGCTGCCTTGTTGTCTTAATGTGTTCCTGGGAGGTGGGAAGTATAAATAGCTTGATACCTGACTGTAAGTGTCTTAGGTTTCCAGACTACTTTTCTGAATCCTCCTCACCTCCTTCTCTCCTGCTCATACCAAAATCTGTTTAATAAGGTCAAGATTCTCAATTATTTTTTGGGGGTTTTTTGTTTGTTTTTTGTTTGGGTTTTTTTTAACAATAGAAGTTGTTTGTTAACAAGACTACGAGAATAGTCTTAGGCCACTTGCAATTTAAACTTTTCTAAATTAATAGATTCACTGTAAATAAAATTTTAAATTATAAAGCAGGACAATATGAATATGGCAACTTTGTGGTTTAATGGTATTCTTTTTAAATGTTCTTCATTCCTGTAATGTGTAGATATGTATCTACACCTTCCATGAGACCAAGTATTGAAATAACCTACAATTCTGCTTTTGGAGTACTGTATAGATTCTAACTTTCTCAGACAATGAAATGAAAAGAATGGAAACTGAGTTCGTATCTTAAGTATGTTTACTTAGATTAAGTGGTGCACCTGCTATTCAGGAGAGTGGTCCTTCAATTTGAACGCCAAGACCGTTATTTTTCATCCTGCTTTTCAATACTCTGATTAGAATAGAAAATTTTGCAGTTTAGGTCAACAAGGTGTTTATGTAATAAAAAGAAATATAGAGGGCTTTTTCTGTTATGATACTGTTGTTATTACCTTTGATTATACTATATGGGTAATATGATAGGAAGGATTTGTTTTGTTGACTTGTGGTCTCTTGTGTATGGTTTTGAATTCATTTGGGTCTGCTGAGTGCTAAAATACAGATTGATTCTGACAAGGTATTGGGTGTACAACCATCACAGAATAAATAGAGTCATAGAATCATCTAGGTTGGAAGGGACCTTTAAGATCATCAAGTCCATCCATCAACCTGACACTGCCAAAACCACCACTAAACCATGTCCCTCAGCTCTACATCTACGCGTCTTTTAAACACCTCCAGGGATGGTGACTCAACCACTTCCCTGGGCAGCCTGTTCCAATTTTTGCCTCTGGCTGGGATGGAGTTAATCTTCCTCATGGCAGCCCACATGGTGCTGTGATTTATAAAATCATAGAGTCATTTCGGTTTGAAGAGATCATCGAGTCCAACCATGAACCTAGCACTGCTAAGTTACCACTAAACCATGTCCCTCAGCTCTACATCTACGCGTCTTTAAAACCCCTCCAGGGATGGTGACTCAACCACTTCCCTGGGCAGCCTGTTCCAATTTTTGATAACCCTTTCTGTGACGAAATTTTTCCTAATATACAATCTAAACCTCCCCTGGCACAACTTGAGGCCATCTCCTCTTGTCCTATCACTTGTTACTTGGGAGCAGAGACCAACCTCCACTTCGCTACAGCCTCCTTTGAGGCAGTTGTAGAGAGCAATAAGGTCTCCCCTCAGCCTCCTTTTCTCCAGGCTAAACAACCCCAGTTCCCTCAGCCGCTCCTCAAAACACTTGTGCTCTAGACCCCTCACCAGCTTTGTTGCCCTTCTCTGAACTTGCTCCAAGTGTTAATTCATATGAGATTGTTGCTTTGGACTGTACCATATTGGGAAAATATTTAACAGTAGAAGAAGCTGTAGTTGTTTGCTTAAATAGATGAAGTCATTCCAAAAATTCTTTTGTATACTTATTCTAGAAGTTAACAACTGGATTTGCTAGGTCGCATACACTATACAATAAAAATTAAAAATACTTTTACTGCTTATCATACTAAATAAATGCAGTGCCTAGGCACACATTAACTTTCTTAAAGGTGATATGTACACCCACCTAAAATTTGTAGCAAAGTAAATGTAGGCATCTTTTCAGTCAGTTTTATTACTGACGTTATATTCGCACTTGAATGTAGGTAGCCCTGTTACACATCATATTGCCCATCTATTGTGAGTACGTCAGTGAAATGGAAACACTGGTGAGGGGAGCAACAATAATATTTCAACTCCTGTTCTTCATCTTTTCCTGTAAATGTTTTGCGTATTTTGCTTTGATCAGCTAGTACCTTGTGCTCTTTCTTTTCGGTATTTTTTATATTCAGATGATGATTTTTTGGGTTCCTGTCAGTAACTAGTAGTGTTGCTGCATCTGCTTTTTGATAGATGAATAGTTTGGTAGGAAATAGGCAGTTTTCCTATCAGTTTCTGCAGATAGGAAATAGCACAGCTTGATAGGAAATTCTATTTGATGTCTTCCTTTTTTTGTTGGCTTAGTATGAAAAATCTGTGAGACTCCAATCATTCTTAATAATGTCATTAGTTTAATTGAATTTATCTGTAAGATCGTGGTAGCAAGTAAGATCCAAGTAGTATCCTACCTAACCTGTCCTCTCCTGCTGTCTTTCAACAATTTTCTCATTTGTCACAGCTGGCCCAGGTATTTAAACTT